TTTTTTTTTTTTTTTTTTTTTTTTTTTAAATCCCTCGTGTATTATGGTGGAGTGTCCCAATGGCTCGTAAACGGAAGGATCTTACACCGCTCGGCTTTTCTGCCGCTTAACCTCCTCCCGAAGACGCTCGGTGCCTCGCTCGGAACGCCTCTCGTGGCACAGCCGGACGGCCGTGTAGTAGCGGGGCCCGGAGCCACTGGGCAGGGGGCTCCGCGGGCAACCCCTCGGGAGGGAGCTCGGGCCGGGGGCTGCGCCGCCCGCCCGTCCGCGGCAGCCCCGCCGGGGGGCTGGCAGCCGTGGGGCACGGCTTTCTGTCACCCACCGCGCCCCTTCCCCACGCGTGAGCCGGGCCGGCCGTGCCGCCGCTGACCCCGCACAGCGGCGTTGCGGGCAGCCACCCCCCGCCGCCCCCGCAGCTGCCGCCCGGGGCAGCCAGCCGCGCTCCGGGCGCCTGAAAGATGCAAATGCGGCGTGAGTGGGGAGGGGGGGGGCAAGGCGGGGGCGCCTCGCCGCACCGCCCGGGCGCAGAGGGGCCGCGGCGGGCGGGGGGCCGGGGCCGGGCCGGGCGAGCTTTGTTCGCCTTCCCCGCCCCGCGCCGCCGCCGCGGCTTGGACGGGGCGCGCCGAGGGCGGGGGTGCGCGGCGCGGCGGCCGCTGCGTGGAGCCGGGACGCCCTCTGGCGGCCGCCGCGCGCTCCGCCCGCCGCTGGGGGCGCCCTGCCCGGCCAGAGCGCGGGGCTCCGAACCGCGGGAAGCGGCGAGGCGAGGCCGGCGGGCGGGGAGGGCGTCGGCGGCGGCACCCCGCGACCCCCCTACGGGCACCGCCGGTAACGCTGGTCCTTGTCTTGCAGGAGAACGGCCACCTGAAGGTGAACGGCGACGCCTCCCCCGCGGCGGCGGAGGCGGGCAAGGAGGAGGTGCAGGCGAACGGCAGCGCGCCCGCCGAGGAGACGGGCAAGGAGGAGGCGGCCTCGTCGGAGCCCGCCTCCGAGAAGGAGGCGGGAGAGGCGGAGAGCACCGAGCCGGCCTCCCCGGCGGAGGGCGAGTCCTCCCCCAAGACTGAGGAGGGCGCGACCCCCTCGTCCAGCAGTGAGACCCCGAAAAAAAAAAAGAAGCGCTTTTCCTTCAAGAAGTCCTTTAAGCTCAGCGGCTTCTCCTTCAAGAAGAACAAGAAGGAGGCCGGCGAGGGGGCCGAGGGCGAGGGCGGCGCCGCCGCCGCGGCGGCGGAGGGCGGGAAGGAGGAGGCGGCGGCCCCTGAGGCGGCGGGCAGCGAGGAGGGCAAGGCGGCCGCCGAGGAGGCGTGCGCGGCCGGCAGCGCCGAGGCGGCCAAGGAGGAGGCGGGGGACTCGCAGGAGGCCAAATCGGACGAGGCCGCCCCCGAGAAGGCGGCGGGAGAAGAAGCCCCGGCATCGGCGGCGGCCGAGGAGCAGCAGCCGCCACAGCAGGCAGCGGAGGGGAAGGCGAAGGCGGCGGAGGAGGCGGCGGGCGCCGGCGCCGCCACGAGCGAGGCGGGCAGCGGCGAGCAGGAGGCGGCCCCCGCGGAGGAGCCGGCGCGGCAGGAGCCCCCCGCCGAGAGCAGTCCCGAGGGCCCCGCCGCCGAGTCGGCGGAGTAGTAAGCGCCGCCGCCGCCCCTCGCCGACGGACTTTTCTTCCCCCCTGTTTGTTTTTGGAGTGGTGCCAGGTACTGGTCTCGGAGAACTTGTCTACAACCAGGGATTGATTTAAAAGATGTCTCGTTTCTTTTTTTTCTCTCCCCCCGCAGCTCCCATCTCAAATCGTTATGTGTTGCCGCCATTCCAACGGGCGGAGGGGGGCTCCCCTCCGCCTTCCTCTCCCATCCTCTATATTTTGGTTTTTTGGGTTTTTTTTTTTTCATCAGTATTAATGTTTTGTTTTGGTTGGTTCGGGGTTTTTTTCCGTTATTTTTTGTTTTTTGGGTTTTTTGTTTGGTTTTTTTTTGTTAGTTTATTTTTTAATTTCATACTTTGCAACTCTCTTCATATTATAAAACTTTTGCCGATCGGTCTATGGACATGCCCATATATGAAGGAGATGGGTGGGTCAATAAGGGATATCAAATGAAGTGACAGGGGCCGCAGTGGGGAACCCGGGGCGCGCAGCCCTTGCCGGGAGCGCGCCCCGCCAGAAATGATGTAAGGGGTTAGTCTTTTTTTTAAAAGAAAGTTATTACGATGTATTTTGTGAGGCAGATGTTCTATAAGGTTTACAACACTACAAGTCTTGATTAAGAAGGAAAGGAAAAAAGGAAAAAAAAATAAAAAATAAAAATCAATACCCAGATAAAGAGATCATAGTCTTAGAAATTCATTTAAACCATAGGAACTTTTCACTTATCTCATGTTAGCTGTATCAGTCAGTGATTAAGTAGAAATACAAGTTGTATAGGCTTTATTGTTTATTGCTGGTTTATGACCTTAATAAAGTGTAATTATGTATTACCAGCAGGGTGTTTTTAACTGTGACTATTGTATAAAAAAAACAAATCTTGATATCCAGAAGCACATGAAGTTTGCAACTCTTTCCACCCTGCCCATTTTTGTAAAACTGCAGTCATCTTGGACCTTTTAAACACAAATTTTAAACTCAACCAAGCTGTGATAAGTGGAATGGTTACTGTTTATACTGTGGTATGTTTTTGATTACAGCAGACAATGCTTTCTTTTCCAGTTGTCTTTGAAAATAAAGGAAAACTCTTCAGATGCAATGTTTTTTTTTTGTTTTTTTTTTTTTTGTGTAGCATCTTGTCTATCATGTTTTTGTAAATACTGGAGAAGCTTTGACCAATTTGACTTAGAGATGGAATGTAACTTTGCTTACAAAAATTGCTATTAAACTCCTGCTTAAGGTGTTCTAATTTTCTGTGAGCACACTAAAAGCGAAAAATAAATGTGAATAAAATGTATAATTTGGTTGTCTTTCTTTTATGGATACTCTGGTAGCTTAAAGGGACTAGCCAGTATTGCCTAAATTTGTACAGAGACAGTCATGTGTGCTGTTAGCAGTAGCTTTGAAAAGTACCTTCCTGGATCTTGGACTCTGTAATATTGTGCATTTTACAGAGAAAGTGTGCAGTGCACCAGGTAATTTGTAGGCTTTTTCTGGCTTTAAAAAAAGAAGACTGGAAGGCAGTCTGAGCATGTACAGTGTATGATTCTCCTGTCCAGGCTCCATCTTGCTTTTAAGACCAGAGGTATCCAGCATATGAGGGTCTTGCCTCTTGAGGAAAATAAGATTTTATTTGAATTGCTTAGGGTGGGGCATTGAAATTTTTATGCTGAGTTGCTTAAAAATTAAGCTCTTGAACAGATGTCCCACTTAGGTCGTGGTATGCTGGTCCTGTTTTGGTACCCTGATGATTGTCTTGAAAACTTTAGCCTGGAAGGAGAAGGGGGAAACTAACACTGCCATTCTACTTAAAGTAATTAAAAGCAATATTTTCTTTTTTTCCTCAAGTGCTACTCCCAGGTACAGGTGAGTTTCAAAACAGATTTCAAAATTTGTCAATAAAAAAAAATAAAAAAATTACGTGGTGCTTGCCTCTAATTGTTAGGCTTTTTTGGCTAATTTCCAGCATATTGCTCAGGGCAATTATGCCTTAATAAAACAGTGAGTTCATGTAAGAAAAGCAGCAGTGGTGTTTGGAGGGTGGAAATTGATTCAAGAAAGTGTTGCTTCTAAGTTTATAGGAGAAAGTTTAGTGTTACACTTATTTGCTTCCACCATTTTCAGCAGAAACTCTTTGGAAGCAATTATGATTCATTTTATGAGAAAATGGCACGTTAGCACCTTGTTCCCTAAAGAACAAAGCCTAAAATGAATGAAGTATAGTAGATTTCCTGCTGAATGCATAGTTTTTGTTTTCTTTGGGTTTTTTTGGTTTTTCGATTTTTAATTCAGCTGTCTACCATTTTAACTTTGGCTTGTATGTACTCTAGTTGCCCTGGTATTTCTCTATAACTTTAGAAATGTATTGAAACTATGCTATAATTGCTGAGGGACAAAAATAAATGGATGTAAAACAAGATCCTCCACACCAGTGTCATTCTTGGAGTACATGTGTTTGAAGTCTAGTGCATAACTGCTTTGCTAAGGGGTTTTTATAACATGGCTGTAAAAACCTGTTCTGAGACACATAATGTCTTGGCCATAGAGTCAATGTCTCTTTTTAATAAATATATATATTTAAATCCAAGGATTCTTAAAGAGAAGTCTGGATTTCTTTTTTTTCTTTTTTTTTTTTTTTTTTTTTTTTTTGGCAAACTGTATATGTAAATATGAAGAAAATAGTTGCTAGTAAAGTTCTTTTTCAGATTTTTCTTAACCTCTCAAGCTTTCATGGCTTTTTCCTCACTCAGCTGATGGTTTCTGAAGCACTTCCTATTCCTGGGAGTGCAGAATTGCTCCTGCCCATGGCAGATGGACTTTTGGCTTGGGGCTTTGTCATTTTGTGGTTTGACTGATGTTTTTAAGTCCTAACACTGGTAGAGTTTCAAAAGTGCATCTTAAGAACACCAATTGCACAGTCTGCTCTTCCTGTCCCAGCAGTCGGGTGAGATTTGATGATGCCAGTTTTCCACTGTGTGGTTTAAGAAGACAGAAGTCAAGAAATGGCTCGGAATCATGGAAATGGAGGAGTTTTGAACTGCTACCTCCTGACAGAGAATTGTGCAGGAGCATCTTTCCTCCCTGGGTCCCAAAGGGACTGACTGAGTAGTCATTTCTGTGGAATTGTGGAATATCCTCTTTTATGTACAAGGAAAATGAAGGGGCTGAGTGTGAACTGGTCAGGTGGTTCATCTTACTGAGAGAACTTTATACTTTTTTTTATTGCATTGGTTGCCTCAATGAAATTGCTAGTTATAAAAAGTATTGTAATTTCAACGAATTCTCTCAGAGCATATGTGAATTTAAAATGTCTGATTTCAAACCAATTTTTCCTATATTGTGGTTCTTTTTAAGCAGAATATTATTATTGCTGTGAACAGGGTCATTTCTGTTGTGCTGAAACAATGTCATATTTTTAGGTAAAACTTACACTGGAATCTAATTTTGCCTGACTGGGGGCTCTAGAGATTTACCTCTTCTGTTTATTTACTTACACTGAGACAACAGCTTTCCTTGTTCAAAAATGCAACCTAGTTGTACAAAAGTGCTTTAGATCTCGTGCCTATCTTGGCAATAACTAAACTACATTTCAGGCTTTCCAAGTCAAGGTGACTCAGACTTCAAGTACTTGAGTTCTGTGTCTGGTCCTGATACTTATTAATGTCAAACTGTAGAGACTTTGCCTTCAGGCAAGGAGCCAAGGCAAGAAAAGGGAAAGGTGGGATGGGTGAGAGAAGCGGAGTCCAGGCTTTGTCTTCTGCTGTCACTTTGTTGCTTGTGTCCACAGTCCTTGGATACAAATCAAGTCTTGTATCAACTTCTGCCATATCTAAAAACTCCCGTTGGTTGTATTAGATGCAAGTGTTGCATATGTATTTTACTCCTTTATTATGATGCTGTCGATGTTTGAAGAATGTTTTTTGTTCTACAATACGGTTTGAAGCAGCTTACTCTTGAACTTCACTTGCAGATGATCAGATAAAAGTTGAAGGTTTTCGTCTGCTTTGATTGTTCGAGTTTTTCTAAGTTACAAGTCCTTTAATATTGCCTTTAAAAAAATTGAGAGTAATACACATTCTAGTCTGAAACTATAATGTTGGTTAATGGCTTCCTGCAAAACTAGTCCTGTGAATTCGGTCTTTATGCTATTCTGTATAGTAGCATAGTAGAAGGTCATCACTGGTGGTATTGGACTGGTTTCAGTGTTTGTTTATTTTGAGAGACTGAGGTGAGATGTGTTTTTCATAATGATGTTGCTTAGTTGAAATAATCCTGATTCTAGCTTAGGACTTTATTTTTTTTACCATGCTTAGGTCACCGACATAGAATAAAGCAGGTCCTTTATTTCCTGAAGTAAGAAGCAAATGAAAATGGTATATTGTTTATAACACGGCGTAGACAGTGGGATTAATTTGTTCTCCTTAGAAATGTGAGCTCCTCAGATAACTGTGAGCAGGAGCTATTGGCATTGCCATGAGTGGGGCAGGGCAGAGGCAAGCACAGCAGCATCCTGCCACTCGGATGGGGGAGCCTAATGCGGTGCTACAAAGAAGTGTGAGGTTACTGAAAGCCTGGGTACCGGCTTGCCCTAGGGAGAGACAGTGTGGTGGTGAGATTTTAAGACCTGTTGCTTGTTTGAGGATTGAGAAATGGAAGAGGTAGCAGCGTGTTTCATGATGCCTTTACTGGGACTACTGTTGAGATTGCTCTGGAGTGGGAACACTGCCTGCTGGGAAGATCAGAGGAGGGTTAGCAATGGGATCAAATAGCAATTATCCCTAAACAGAAGGGTGACCAAAGTATTGCCCTGTGAATGAAGTACACAGCTAGAAATATGTAAATTTGGGCTGTATTGTTGAGTACACTTTTTATACAAAAGCAAGTGGTATTTATACAAAACAATTGAGATTCAGAATGCCTCATTTTTAGGATATCTATAATGTTACCTGATGGAGGGGACATAAAGGTTAAATTAATGTTTTTAGAGTGTTTAGAAGTTTTGGGGACAGTTACAAGTAATATTTACATATCCTTGTCCTCAGTCTTTCCTGCAGGAAGGCATGCTTATCCAAAACAGGATTATCAAGGTTCTAGGTGAAACAAGACATTAATATTTGCAATTAAAAAGACACAAACAAGATATATGGAATATTAGTTCTCAAAGATATGATGAATTTAGATAAAATATCAAAGACATTATTCAATTAAAAGGGGGGGAGGGGTTTGTTTTGAGGATTTTTTTTCACCTTACACAATTCTGATTTTAGAACTGCAAGTACAAGGAAATATTACTGGCAGTGTATGCATTTTTATCACCAAGTAGCAAATATTCCAGGAGTTAGGATTCTTAAGATAATTCCTGTGGCCATGTATGTGATAACCTGTGATAGAAGAGTGCTGGAGAGGGAATGTTTTGTGCCAAGCAATGCCACCTTCTGGGGTATTTTCCAACACCACAGCTGATACTGTTGGTAATAAAGTATTTGATAGTTGCCTTTTGCAGAGACTGTAGTGACTAGATATTTCTTTCTAAATACAGTACAAACTAGACTCTTTCTCCTGAAGTTCACACCTTAATTTCTAAAAAAAGAGAAAAATACCTATGGATCTGTTGGTTAGGTAAGTTGTTCTTGCTGGGTAGCCTTAATAGCTGCAAAAAAATCCTTTCTAGCCTATACTAGCATAATTATTTCTCTGAAGTTTGGTATAGAGGACCACCTGAGTATTTAAAATTAATTTGATGACACAATAAGCCGTGCTTACTTACAAGGGTAACCTGCTGTTCAAAGGAAGAAAAACCCATTCATTCTTGCTGGAGAAGAACCATTTTAAACCAGTTAAGACCTGTAGATAGGAAAGGTAAAGGGGACCAAGAGAAAAAAGAAACCAATCGCCAAGCTTTATGAACTAAAGGAAGAAACTACTTTTTCTAGCCCCCTGAAGCAAGGCTGTCATAGGTTTAAAGTACCTCCTTTCTGTCTTTAAAAACGATAATTTACTTATGAGAGACACTGTTTCCACTGGAGTGCAGATCTATGTTCCTTTCAAACACCTCCAATGAAACCAAGTCCAAAACTGATTGGTGAAGGTTTCATTTTTCAGGAATGAATCATTGGGCCACTCACAAGTCCTCCATTGCAGTTTGGGAGTCTGTTAAAGCGAATTTGGCAGATGCAGCTCAGAGGACTTACCTCCTCTGAGAAGACTGGGAAGCAAATATGGTAATTAAACAGAATGACAGAAAGCATGGACTGGTACTCAGAACACAGGAAGGAACATGATCTATTTTGTTTTTCC